CTGCGTATTGTCTCCGGTGTGTCTGTGGGACTCCACTTGGTGCATCTCACACTGTCCCCATCCCGGTCCCTCGGTGGGGTCGGGCGCTGGCGAGCTCGCTTCCCGCAGACCCCGGCCGGGCACTGAGTGTAGACGGAGCTCACGCTCTGAAAGGCGGGACCAGCCTGAGGAGAGCGACCCGTTGTCTTGTAGACACGCACGGAAGCACTTCAGCCAGGCCGAGGGGAGCCAGCTGGACGAGGTGCGGCAGGTCATGGGCATGCTGGCCTTCCCGCCGGACACCCACATCTCCCCCTACAAGGTACCCGCGCCCCGAGCCCTTCCCGCCTCCTGTCCCCGTCCAGAGTCCAGAGCGGCTCCTGTGCTGTGCAGCCGCCCAGGGTCCTCTCCGTCCTGGAGGCTGGGGGGTGGGGGTGGGGGTGGGGGTGGGGGTGGGCGCTGCTCCTCAGGAAGGGGCCGCGAGCTCTGAGCTCCTCACCACGGACCCCTCCTCCCGACCTGCCTCGCCACATGGGTCTGAGGACCTGCCAGTGCCCTGAGACCCAAGTGACTTCATCCATTGACCTGAACTACCCCGATTGTCAGGCCTTAATCTCCTGGGGCACAGGCCTTTACCCCTGCAGACTCTACAATCACAAGCGGGGCCCAACCCTCTGAAGGGAATGTGAAGTTCCCCGCCATGAATTCACAGTAATGACGGGCTCTCGGAGGTCGTGGGGGGGGGAGTCCACTCGCGAGAGGTGTCATGGCTCCGTCTCTGCTCTGGGGGGACTCAGTAGCTCAGAGAGCTCACTCTGCCCTGGAGCAGGCGTCTCAGTGGGGGGCCTGGGCCTTCTGCTCTTACGGGCCTTGTGGTGGCACTTCCCTCGGCACTGGAGCGAGCCTTGGTCCAGGAACCCGACACCTTCCAGCACAGGAAGTATAGAGATGTGGCTTCGGAGTGTCCTGGAGAGAGGGGGGGAGGGGGAGGGGAGCTTGGAGGACCCAGCGTGTGCCGTGTGCCGTGTGCAGCTGCCTGGCCCTGGCGGGGAGTCCTGGGCGTGTGAGGGCCGAGAGGAGGCACAGAGCTGCCCTCCAGCGCGGGCCCCACCTCCGGGCACTGTGCTGGGATGAGAGCAGGGAGGGCGGGTGGTGGCCGCTGGGCTTGGGGTGTCGCGCGCCTGGCTGGGGGCTGGCAGGGGGCTGGTTGCATCTTCCAGGTTGATGGCAGGGATTTCCCTTTTCATCTGTGTGCCCCCCCACACACACACATGCAAACACACGCCTTTGAGTGTGAACTCGACAGTTGTAGGGGCAGACGTGGGCCAGGCTTAGCCTTATTTCCTGGGAGGAGGAGTTTCCGTTCACTCAGTGCCCAGCAGGAGGCTCAGACTTGCTCATGGAGACCTGTCCGTCCCGAGGCCGTGGGACCCCACCCTCTGAGCGCCCGTGGGCTGGAGGGCCGTCCGGTGGCCCAGCTCTGCCTTCCCTTCCAGGACCTGCTGGACCCGGCCCGGTGGAGGATGCTGATCCAGCAGTTCCGGTACGACAACTACCGGCTGCACCAGCTGGGGAACAACTCCGTGTTCACCCTCACCCTGCAGGCCGGCCTCTCGGCCATAAAGACGCCGTATCCTTCTGGGCTGTGTCTGCAGCCCTGCGCCTCGCGGCCTCTGCCCTGGTCACGCGAGAGTCCCTGTGCTGGCCCCACCCTGTGGCGCTGGCCGTCTTAGAAACCTGCCCTGACTGCCGCACACTGTGTCCACGGAGAGCAAGCGTGCGTGTCCTCTGGCAGCTGGGACTGGGCCATTTAGAATAGCTTTCCGGTGCGTTCCAGGTCCTGCAGTGTCTGCTGTCTCAGTGGCCATACTCCCCAGAGCGGAGCCTTCCTGTGGCCAAAGAGCTGACCCGGACCCCGTGCTGGTCTGTGGGTCCCTCGAGTGCACCGGGGGGTCCCCTCTAGGACCCCATCAGGGCCGTGTGCCTCTTGCTCGTCATCTGACGCTGGCACGGTGGGCAGGCCCTGCCTGTGGGGACAGGTGGCCGTCCTGGGCCGTGCGCGTGCTCCCGCCATGAGGGCGTGGGCTCCCTGAGATGCGGGTCCCCTGCTCCCAGTGGGCTCTGGCCTCTGGGTCCCTCGGCCTCTGGCTGCGTTCCCGCTGAGCCCAGGTCTCTGCCTCGGAGAATTCTGCTGCTTCCAGCCTGGGCCTGCGTGGAGCGGGGCCGTCCCCGGACCCTTCCTTAACCCGAGCACAGGCAGTGCTACAAGGAGGATGGCAGCTCCCGGAGCCCTGACTGCCCCGTGTGCAGCCGCTCCCTGAACAAGCTGGCGCAGCCCCTGCCCATGGCCCACTGCGCCAACTCCCGCCTGGTCTGCAAGATCTCGGGCGACGTGATGAACGAGAACAACCCGCCCATGATGCTGCCCAACGGCTACGTCTACGGCTACAACGTGAGCCGGGGCCGCGGGGGGCGGGCGGGGGCGGGGGCGCCTCCTGCAGGAAGTCGCTGGTGAGCGGACGGCTCGGTGCCTGGGGTCACTGTGGTCTGTCCTCATGCGTCCGTCTTATCTCGCAGTCTCTGCTCTCCATCCGTCAAGACGACAAGGTCGTCTGCCCGAGAACCAAAGAGGTCTTCCACTTCTCCCAGGCCGAGAAGGTGTACATCATGTAGGCGGCGCCTGCCTCGCGGTGCCTGTTTCTTGCGACCAAAGATCCGTGAGCAACGGCAGACGCTTAGGAGCAGAGGAAGGAGCGGGGCAGCCTGTACTGGGAGCCACACTTGATCGTAGGACTTGGTAACGGGAGTCGACGAGCTGATGCGTCCGGGGAGGACCGGCACCTTCCGGCACCTTCCAGAGATCGAGACCCACTGGACACCAGGGAGACCCGAGGACGTTTCAGGAACAGTTTCCTCCCTGTTGCTCGTGACCAGCCTGGGAGCAGGCGTGTCCTGCGTGGTGGCGCCTCGCATGGACGGCTCTCGTCGCTCGCTGGCGTGGCTGTGCCCCCCGTGGGGCCCCATGGCCACCTGCGAGGCCTGCGTGGTGGTGGCACTCAGCTCCAGACGCTGTTGGCACAGACGAACGTCCAGCTGAGTAACCACAACGACTTGGGATCCAGGGAACCGAGTAGCCGACGCCGCTGTCCGTAGGTTTGTGCTTAGTGCTCAGTTGCATGTGGATGTTGCTTAGCTAATAAACTGTACATGTAACCATGTCAATAAAAGGGTTTCTATTTCTCGTTTCCGTGTGAGCGGAAGCTGCTCTGCCTTCCTGACGCCTTGGCCCTGTCTGCTGTCCCCACCCCCCACCCCGTTAGCAGCTCAAAGGCAGCCCCTGCTACGGGTCCCCTGGGTCTCAGGCTCCTGAAGAAGGGCTGTCCCCTGCTGAGCGGTGCACTGTCCAGGGGCTGGGCCACCAGCAGGACCCTTCCCCCCCACCCCG